ATTTCAGCTATGATACCTTGAAGTGAAAGATGAATGAGTGAGCTCCCACGTTGCAGTACTGCAGCATGCATATGTCATCCCAAATGCCTGACTACAAGGGGTGTCCCACTTGTAAGGGGTTTGGAAAGCACAAAGTGCCCAATGCATTATAATCTTTGCATTTATGATTTTAGGTGAAGCTTGAGAGCAACTTTGCTTCGGTTGTCTTTGCCATCGTGGTTTTGGAAGGGCTTGGTCGCTCGCTGGACCCCAAACTGGATATCTTGGACGAGGCTAAGCCACTTCTCATCAAAACAGCAGCAGCTCTCTTAAAATAGCAGTGACCACTGGAGTTGGCGTTCCATTGTTGGGCTTTTTGGCAAGGAACTGCCTATTCTTTTTGTCAGTAGAGGGGGAAGGAACCTAAAGTTGGAGTTGCTGCATGGCTGGTCATGACTGAGCGCAAGTTTATAAGGGAATAACCTATTGCTTCTCACCAGAGATTTGAGAGGTGAGTGGCTATGTCATAGTGTCAAAGACACTGTCAAGTAGTCTAGATCCCCAAGGCTGAGGCAAATCATCGCATTCTGAAAATGATTTGAAGTGTTTAGAGATTTCCATTGTGTTTGTGAACTTAAACCAGAAGGACCCCACTCTAGTGGAACAAAACAATGTGTGAACTTCTGTTGATTCTGCAGATGTCCACAGCTGCCCCAAAGCTATGGCAAGATCAGGCTACACAGGCAGGTCAGTTTTTGTTTCATGGAAATGCCAGGGAACAGGCTCAGACGTTGTTAGAAAGGGACAGAAACTTCCTTTTTAGGCTTTAAAAGAATAGAAATCACATAAATATTTCTGAGCATAGCAGATATGCTTCTCTTTCTTCTTGGAAGCTGGTGATCACCCTGTGTTCTGTTGCTGGCAGCAGAATGCATCCCAGTTACTGCAGGGATGCTTATACATAGTGTATAAGCTCAGCCTCGTTTCCACAAGCACCAGCAGGCTTCAGATTAGAGCCAGCAAGGAAAAGAAACAGTTGCTGAATTCTGATGAGTAGGGTCCTGTGCTTGCTGCTGACTTAATGGGTACAGGATCAAACTCTATTAGTTAGTATGAATTGGGCCAGGACTGCAGAGAAGACCGAGACTGCTGCTACAACAAGCTAAATAGTAATGGGGATTTGGTTTGATCTTCCTATTTCGATAGTATTCATTTTTAAAAATGAATTTCCTAACATTACTTGAATATTATTCAGTCCTTTCTGTAGAATAAATGCTGAGTGTGGGCTTTTTAAAAAAAATATAATTTTCTTGAAAGAATAAAAGCTCCTGGGAAGGGTATAATTTACATGCATTTTCATCATTCTTCTTCTGGGTGACATTTTTGAGTAGTTGATAGTGTAAGTACACTCGCATGGAACATGATTTCCAAAAATGTTGTCACTTCTGAACCTGGGAATGAAACTGCCACCAGTAGGAAGCTGCTTATTGTTCCAAGATAACATGTACAAATGATGCGGAGATCCAGCTGCCCGTTCTGTAGTCCATTTTTATACTAAAATATCTGGAGAATTTTTTATTCTGCTTCCCTTGTAGATCTGAGTTGTTATCATAATAATATTGATTCTTCATTACTGTGTTAAGTGTAAGTAATCTGATTATTTTAAAAGGAGAGAAGTGTTAAACTACTATCGGTTAATTTTATGAATAACCTGTCATTTCTGGTATAAGCAGTAGTACCCTGGCACCTAAGATGGTTACACAGTCCTAGTTTTATTTACACTTGTTCTGGCTCTGAAACTGAAATCTGAAGAACCAATGTAATTTCCACTGTCTTTCACGTGTTCTTACATTTGTTTGTGTGCCCTAAAACCCCAGTCAGGAGTGGGGTGTCCCTGCTCCTTTGGGACAATGAGAAAAAGACTAGTGTGGTTGCAATATCACGGGCTGCTCTGAGATCATGTCAAGGAGGCGGTGGGGTGTCACACAGTGTTAGCATTGTTAGGTGTGCTAACGTAATTCATGAGAGAAACCGAGAGATTTCAAATAGGAATCCACTGTGTCAAAAACATCCTGCCCTGTCATGGTCTTTCTGAGTTCTCTGCAACAGAAGAGTTGCTCTGTTATTTTTTCCATAGTCAAAAATGGGTGAAAACTAAGAGCTGGCACTTTCCAAGGGGTGCCCTGAGTCTAAAACAGTTAAAAACAATTAGACTAGTCAATTTTACTTTCAGAGTCACTTTCTCAATGTTGCAGAAGTTTGGGCGATAAATAATAACAGGAGATATTTGTCTGAAAGAAAACCTGGTTCTAGAATAAAAAACATGATTTTGAAAACATGTCTAATAGTTTTATATTATGTTAAACTTTTTTCCCCATAAAATTCAAGAGGATTGAACTTCAGTTCATTTTCAATTAGTAGTATGCAAATAATTGCTTTCACCTCTGACGGTTTGCACTAATGGCTAGAAGATTTATTGTGAATTTTTAAAGTTACCACATATGGACTATAAAAGACAGGAACTCAGTTATCTGGTTTAGTTTTAAAAAATATTTTTCAGCCTTATTTTAAGAGCGATATGCACAATCCACAGAGAGTAGCAAATAGAATAATATACAAACAAATATTTCCTAGCATGTCTTGAATTAATTTTTAGTAATGCTATACTTTTATTTAGAGTTCTACTGTTGAATCTTTGAGTAATAAAGAGAGGCTGCATGTGTGGGTAATCTGCCAGATATTTTCTGAGGACTATGAAGCACAGTGTAGCATGCATAATTTAGAAAAAAACAAGCTAACTGCTCTATGTATTTCACGTTTTCTTCCGTAAACAATATATATATATTAAATCTCCAAATAATCAGAGGGTAAAATATTTTTTTAAAACTATTTTAAAACCTTGTCTTATTACTAAAAATGTATCACACCATGAAGCATTTCTTGAGTTTCAGACTCATCTTTGCTACTAACATTTTGATACGTAAACTAGTAAGGTCTTTTAGTTAGCCAAAAATGTGACTGGTTATTGAATTATTCTCATGAAGCCACTTCTCTCTCTTACTATAAGGGAGATTTAGGTTAGATATTAGGAAAAGCAAGGATAGTTAACTGGAATATGTTACCTATAATGGTTATAGAATGTGTGTTTTTAAAGACAGAAAAGACTAATATCTGTCATGAATAGTTTAACTGTAGTTGTTTCTACCTTGAGGACTCAGTGGTTCTCAACCTTTTTCTAACCGACCCATTTGCAAAGATCAAAGGCCTGTCCCGACCCACACCCCCTCTCCTCCCTCCCCTGGGACCTTCCTGGTGCCCCTCATTCCTACCCTGCAGCCCCCTGCCGGAGGGAGCTGGCAGCTGCCCCCATCCCACTGTTGCTGGAACGTAGCAGCTGCAGCGACTCTGGTTCATATAGGCAGCAGGGGAGTGAGGTTGGAAGGGGGAGGAGGGGAGCCCTGTGGCATCCACTGCCCTGGGCTGTGGCTCCTGCACTGCACCAGGGAGTCTGGTCGTGGCCCTTCTTGCCCTTGGGCAGCGTCTCCTGCCCGGCCCACCCCTGCAAGTACAGGCACTGGTGCTGCCAGTCCAGCCATGCAGCTCCCTGCCCCTTCCCCTAGGGGAGGGGCAGGCACCTCCCCTCCCCAGCCCTCCCCTCACACACACACACACACACACACACACACACACACACACACACACACACACACACACACACACACCCCTACACTCCCCATACAC